GTAATAGAATCGACAACGGACAATATTGATGACATCGAGAAAATTATGGAACAATCAAAAGAAATGAAATTAAAACTTCAGCAAGCAAATTTAATTATCAATAAATTAGATAAGTCAAAGAGGATGCTCATAAAGCGTGTAAAACGACTTATGTAATAGAAAAGTAATAGAAGTAATAGAAAATTGACGGAAGAGAATCATATCCTGAAAAATATCAAGAACAATAAGAAAATATTTAATGATGATCAAATTAAAGTTCTCCATAAGTCTGCACGAGATTGCAAATGGTCAAACGCTTCAATCAGAAAAGCACTAAAATTAAAATTGTCATGTGGTAATAGCGGTTATGAGGAATTATTGAATCATTCCTTTACCAGCGCAACGAACACTTCGAAGAAAATCCGAGGGTTTTGATTTTCAGCCTGGCATTTGTGAACAAGTATTTGACATCATAAAACGAGTTGCTGAATTTACGGATGATCGAGAAAGAGATTGCATGCTGGCGGTAAAATTATGAAGCGTTTTATTATGTATAGAATGCGTATATCGTGTAAACGAAGAGGATTACAAACTCGACAATACAGTAGTAAAACTATGGCAATGTATCATAGTGTTAAGTAATATGTTATGTTTATAAGTTGTATTTGTATATGTTATATTTATAAGAAATACATAGTTGTGTTCATAAAATATTGATATATTAATTATTTTATTTATGATAAATGCAATACTGAAATAATCTTCCTTTCCAATATTTCCCTTTAATTTATATTTTTTTAAACTGATATGCATTTCCGCTGCATTTTAATTCGTTCCGCCATTGTGAGGGAACACAGATCTAAACCAATGAAAAGAGGTCTACGAATGGCCAGACTCTGTATTCTAGGGACACTAGGTTAACCCACTCTGGGTTATTCAGCCTACGTTTATTGGTCGAACAAGTACTTATAAGCTTTATGATTGACTAGTAAAGACTTATGATGTCATTTATCGCTCTCGGAGCGATTAACCTAGGACCAGTCGAACACGCTATAAGTCTATAGTTTGCACCCTCGTTCTGCGTTCCAAAACTCTACTCGACGGGTAGAGGTAGCATTTAATTGACTAATAGAAACAAAGATAATTAGGATTTCTTTATCATAATTGGTCAATTAAATGTACTCTACCCACCGATTAGAATTTTGAAACGCAGCCAGAAACTAGTTCAGTGCAATCTCAGTGCAGCTACAATGAATAGACTTTCTGTTTTCTAGCGACACTAGTCTGTAGTGGTAGTTACATAACTATTAAAGAGAAAGTCTCACCTTGGGACGACTTGTTTTAACTGGCGTTTGGAAATAATAACACTAAGATATTCACAATAATATCCAAATTCCTTAACACGATAGATTACTCACTTTAAATTATCGCCAAGTACCAACTACGAAAGAATTAGGGCCCTCACACATGAAATGACATAACTGCATGTGTATAGCATAAGACTGTATGAACCAATGAACATCGAGTATTTAGCCACCATATTGATACTTGATGCTTAATACTCGATGCTCATTGGTCCATACAGTTTTAGGGTGCTATTTCACGTGTCGTATGACAAGCTTTTCAGATACGTTTATTGGTTGGCGAATAGAGTATTTCTAGGTTCTCTGTTCGTCAACCAATGAACGCATCCAAAAAGCTTGTCGTACGACACGTGAAATATCAGCCTTATGGCTCCTGCACACAAGACGTGGTAATGCTTGCCGCGTGGCGAAAGTCCGCGTGACAGCCAATCAATATGTTGCTTTTCCGTAAGAGTTAGAAGGTTATTACGGAAAGCAGCATACTGATTGGCTATCGCGCGAACTTCCGCCGCGCGGCAAGCATTACCCCGTCCTGTGTGCAGGAGCCAATAGCCATCTATTGAAGTCTTGAAGTAGTTTGTAGTGGTATTAAAAAAATGTATTGTATAGCTGTTCTCAATATTCTTTGTAGTTTTAGTTCTGTCTGACGACATGAGATCATATATTGTTGAAAATGGCTGCTTGAATAATAAGGATCAGTAAATGTGCTACGAAATGTATTCTATTACAATGGAAAACTACGATACTATTGCGATATCTACACGGATTATTACAGATTTAAGCATAGATTTAAATAACAAAGTTTTATTTGGTTACAATTACGATTACGGTCTCACGAAAATTTCATTATATTGCGAACATTATTATTTGTTCGAACATATTTGTCTTATTTGCAAAGACTGCATTTCTCGTGAGTATATGCGCGTATTTATTTTTTCTATATATTTGATTGTTAAATGTAGTTTGCATTTTTTATCAAATGATCTTACGCTTTAAATTGTCAGAATTGGAAACCACTATCAATATGTATATGTTATATAGTAATCATTTATAAATATATGAAAATTACTATTTTCAAGATAATGTTCTCTTAATTTAAAATGAATTCTTCCAATTTTCATAAATGTCACTTTACACTGTTATTTTTATTCCTGTTATAGCTATTGTACATTCATATCTGCAGTAGCTTTTAATTCTGTCAACTTAAGGTATAAAACTTTATGTGATAAAAACAAACCATTTAGCAATCAGTGTATATATTTATGCATACAATATTGTATTAATAATAACATATTAATAGATAAAAACTTCACATTTATGCATCAATAATACTTTATTCAGACTTGTGTAATCTGATTGTTTGTGTGTGTGTGTGTGTGTGTGTGTGTGTGTGTAAAAAGAGAGATATTGATCACTCTTGTCTCAGAAAAAATGAATTAAATGAAAATTTTCATAATATATACATACATTTTCATAATATACACATAACTAATTTTCTTACCTGTATATATTATATAATTATGCCAATTTGTCTGGATATGCCTTTAAGATAGTTTGTAAAATTATTTGTTTGTTTTCGATTGCAGAAGTGGCTATGCTAGTATGTGCTAATTCTCTTCTTTTTTTTCTATCAAGTCTCAACTGTTTCTTTTTAAGTTTTGTAATGTACACTAATTTAGCGGTAAGAAGTAGACCTATTCTCTTCAATTAGATATATACTGAGCAAAGAAACAATAAACAATGAATGCATAGTTTTGCTTTACAATTAAAAACATATGTTTTAACAGATTTGAATAGAATTTATTCACAATTGAGCCAATTTGCATATACTATGCAGTTTATCAAAGAAAATCTGAGCATAAGGTAGATATAAATATATCATATGTTAATTGTTCATTCTCAATACATATTCAATATTAGAAATTCTATTAAACTTTAGTTAAATTAACTACACTCTGTACTCATCTGAAATTAGAAAAAGCTTGACTATCGGGAACTCAGATGTTCTCAACTAAAGTTTATTTTTTTTATATATGTTTGTCAAGTTTAAAGTCCTATTTTTAATTTATTTTCAGTTTATTTTAAACTCTATATTTAAACTGTATTGAAAAATTATTATAATATTAAAGACTAATGTACATATAAAATTTATAATTTACACACATATATATATGTGTGTGTGTGTGTGTGTGTGTGTGTGTGTGTGTGTGTGTGTGTGTATAATATAGAATTTTCAGAATTATTGATAATTTTATTTTGGAAATATGATAGTAAAAAGTTCAGATAAAGAAGTCCTTCCAATTTTGATGAAACTTCATGGAAAGCTTTCTTTTTAGGTAAAAACGAAAGTTCTTAAAAGAAATTCTGGCGATTCTTATAAAAAGGCTTATAACATTTTTTAAGAGAAAATAATAAAAAATATAGCTGTAGTTCCAAGGAGTCCCTATGAGCCAACAAGCAAATTTTGTAGTACTCATCTAAGTATAAAAAACTAAATATAAAATATTAGCTCTGGCAATTGAATAAAAGAAATATTATAGCAAATTCGATTGGAAGCAATTTAATCCAAATCTTTGAAAAAATGATATTGAAAAAAATTTTTTTCTGTTGTCATAATTGCCTTCTCAAACGATGTAATTTTTTCTAGACATTTTTTCGTATCATCAAAAAGTATCATCAAAGAAGTGAAAAATTTAAAATACTCGATTTAAGTGAACCACTCTATATATGTACACAGAGTGAGATAGCTAAAATAGACCACGTGAATAAGTTGTAAACTTTGAAAAATAGTTCTATATGAAAGGAGTATAATTTAGGAGTATGATCTAGGTCGTTAGATAATATGTGTATATATCAGGGTTGGGTAGTAACTAGTTAAAAAGTTAAGTGGCTTTAACTTAGTTACATTTTTACACTCTTAACTTTTAACTTAACTTGGTTACATTTTATCGGTAACTATTAACTTCTAATTCAATTATCTTCAAGTTAATCATGTCATAAAGGTGTCGCGAAACGTGGAAAGGCTGTTCAGTGTAGGAGAGTTCATTTTTGACAATCTTTGAGGAAAAATGCCCAATAAAAAGGACCTTGCACTAATCATATGAAAAAAAATGGTTCTAGTCGAATTGACTAAAACTATGATGTTTTGTAGCTTATGAAGTAGCTGATGAAAAATCTTCAACAAAAAGTGTGAAAAAATGGACAGTTTTTTTTCTAGCGCCATTAGAAAGTTGCTATTTTAGGTTTAACCAAACCTTTATTTACAGTATACAGATTGCTTTTTTAACTCCCTGGTAAAAAAAAAAACTGATAGAGAATGATAGAATAAAATTCTATCTTTCTATCATTTCCTATCGTTTTGAATATGGATTTTGGTTCGTGAATTTATAAATGTGAATAGTATTCTATCATATACGATAGAATACAATAGATAGTGATAGAATACCTATCATTAGTTCCCTATAGAATATGAAATCGTTTATAACCAGATAAAATACGATAAAATACAATAGGATTTATATCTGAACTTGCGTGTGAGAACGACACAGCTTAAAGAAAACGATTCAAATTGATAGCGCTATCAATCCTATCGTATTTTATCTGATTATATACGATTTGTATTCCATAGAAAACTAACGATAGAAATTCTATCATTATCTATTGTATTCTATTGTATACAATAGAATACTATTGTATACAATAGAATACTATTTTATAAATTCACGAACCAAAATCCATATTCAAAACGATAGAAAATTATTTTATTTTATCGTTTTCTAGAAATTTTTTTTTACCAGGGACATGAATCTATTCAATAATAGACACATGTATGGTTATATATAAATGCCTATACAGTTAAAAAAGTAATCTGTATAGTGTAGATAAATGTTCGGTTAGACTTAAAATAGCAAATTTCTAATGGCGCTGGAAAAAACACTGTCCATTTTTTCACACTTTTTGTTGAAGATTTTTTATCAGTACCTCATAAGCTACAAAATATCATAGTTTCAATCAATTCAACTGAAACCACTTTTTTGAGTATGATTAGTGTCGGGTCCTTTTGAAAAAAAACTTTATTACTTAAATTTAATAAATATCTGTAAATAAAACATGTTTCCAAATAAGGTGTATATTTGTTTTTTCCGTTATTTGTAAAACTGAGACCCTAAAGTTATGAAATGAAACAAATTTAACTTTTAATTTTTTAATTACTTTTTTTTATTAACTTAACTTTCAATTCAATTAATTTCATTATGGGTTAACTTTATCTTAACTAAGTTAAATTTTCAAAGCCATTAACTTTAACTTAACTTACAAGGGGAACACGAGTTGACTGCTCCGAGGATTTTGATGCACTTTTCACAGGCCATTCTTGGCGAAAAAAAATCGACACATGTCCGGCCGTTTCAGTCAATGGACCATAGTTCCGAAGAAATCGATTTTTAAAAATAACTCTAATCGGCCTCAGCACACTTGATATGTTCGATCGTCGCTATTGAACAATAGCAGTGGTAGCGCAATGGATAAGCCGTTGGCTTCGTATACAGTAGGTTACGTGTTCAAACTTCGTCTCGTACATTTTTTCTTATTAAAAATTTGTTCTTATCTGTAATTATTTATATTATTGTAGATATACACGAAAAAGATTATCCATTTAATTATGTTGATATATTCTTCTTGTAAATAAAATTTTAAAATTTTAAAATAATTGTAATAATTTGAAAAATCTGAGTATAGAAATATTATCTTTATAAATCTTTATCTTTATCTTATAAATTTTATTTTAATTTAATGTTATTAATTTTTATTATTTTTTAATTCTAATAAAATTTTATAAATTTACAAATTAGTAAATAATTGAATATTCATGTATGGAATAATTATTATTATTGTCGTTGTCGTGGTCATTGTTGTTATTTATATGGACACAAATAAAAATGTAATAAAATGTGATCACAAGCGACATGATGAAAAATTTTATAATAATTTTCTCAAATAATTTTCTCAAATCTTCAGTCGTTAAAGAGTGACATGTCGGCACAAGCTTCACCTTTGTTTATCATTGCGTGATTGATAAGGAAAAAAAGAAAAATACGATAACAAATAAAAAAACAAATTATCTACTAATTTGAAACTAGATTTGAGGCTTTCACGGCCATTGATACAATGTCTAGGTATACAGGGTGTTCGGAAAGTACCGGGACGCCCGAATATCAGGAAAAATATAAGTTTTACAAAAAAATGTTTCAGACAAAAGTTGTGTCGTTTAAAAAGATGTATTTACTGATCACATCAGTTTGACCTTGGGTTGCGTAGCGAAGGTCAGGTCAAGGTCACATTAATTTTTTTAAATGGAACACCCCATTTTTCATTGCATATTCTTATAGCACATCTCGAGAG